CGCGCATGTCTTCCAAGCGCTTTGTCTTCGACATGGCGCTTGCAAGTCTGCGGTTTCCAGCTTTCACTCCTGCCGCGCTATGCCTTTGGCATTGGGATTTTCAGCCTTGACATGGTCTCATTCCAAGCGCTCTATGTCTTGACCATGGCGCTTGCAAGTCTGCGGTTGCCAGCTTTCCCTCCTAGTGTCCATGCCTTTGGCATGGTGCTTTCGAACCTTCACATGGCCGCTCTCACTCCAAGCGCTCTATGTCTTTGGCATGGCGCTTTCCACATAGTGCACGGCTTGACTCTACTCATGCGGGCTTGCCATTGGATGCATGCGACGTGCCAGCAGCCACGTCAAATCACTCACATCCAGCTTTCCTGCTTGTCGTAGAAGACGTCTTCGTTTCCTTTCCTGCAGGCTATGGAGTACATGTCTTTCAACATGGGTTCAGCGTTCACATGTCCCACCTGCACTCACGAAAAGACACCGTATCCATGCATTTACATGCACTCTCCTGGTTCTGTAGTTCTTTGGTGGCTGCTGCTAACTGGCGTTTCAAATTTTTGCGCTCTTCCTTCAGCACAGCAACCCTATCAGCCGCGGCCGGTGGGGCTGCAGCTGCCGCGGCGTTTGCATCAGCAGCGGACATGGCACTCAAGGCGGGCGAACAACAGGCTTGCTCCACTCAAACTGCATGCAGTCCTCAAGATGATCCTGTGTTCTCTTTGTGCTTGCCTGGTACCTCCTTTTCACCCCTGTTCACGACCCCAGAAACATGGCTACGAGAATGTGACAAAATGGTCATGCACCGATGTACCCTGATAGTATGTCTGCCAATGTGTGCTCTGCCGCGCAATTTTTCTCCCGGCTCGCACCTCGTCACAACAGAGCCGTGTACGCGTACGCCATACGGCGTCGCTCAGGCCAGATGCTTTGCATGGCTTCTTTAGAGGGCTTGCTGCCTGGAGGCATATGCAGTGGCATATCCATAAATTTTCGCAACTCCGTATGGAGGTGCGCCGTATCGGGCGGCTTCGCCGCACCAACAGATTCAAAAGTGCGTTTCCAACTCTTGCCGGCAAAGTAGCTGGGACACTGCATGAGTTCAAAAAGCCAGGCTAACGGGTCTATCAAACCCTCACAGGAACCTGCCCTCAGTTCCTGGTACTTCCTCTTCAAATGTGTTTTCAATGGGTGGAAACCTGCTATATCTAACGGTTGGATTTTGTCTGTACATCCGGCTGGTATGTACAGGAGCTGGACACCATTGCGCCGAGCGCACACCATGGTTTCCTTTGCGAGATGTGAGGACGCAACATCCAGCAACAAGATAGGTTGAAATGGATAAGGTTTTAAGACTTTGCCTAGATCGCGCACAATCTTGGTGATGTTCTTGCAGGATGTCCAAGCACTTTTCTGACGTACTATGTGCAGCGCCGTTTGTGGCAAGCGCCGCTGGCCCCTCAGCAACTTCTGTGTCAGCTTGGTCTCAGTCCCAAAAAGGTAGTGCGGCAACTTGCCTTGAATATGCGGCGCATCACAAATGATGCTCACATAGGTCAAAGCCCCTCGCACGTCTTGTTTCCGGACAGGCATGCGAAGACTGGCATGTCGTGGCAAAGCAACGCAGCCGGGCAATTGCAGCATGGTGTAGGGAATGCTAGTTTCGTCTAAATTCAAAAACAGCGGAGTCTTGTCCACAAACTTCGTGTTCACGTAGTAGGAGAGTAACTGCCAAAAGGTTCTCACCTGACAGGGCGAAGCCGAGCAGGGAGGCTAGGAAAACATGACCACATGTGGGAGGAGGTCCGAATTGCAATGAGCTTGCCCGGCCCCATTTTTGGAGCCGGAAAACGGTCGCAAAAACACGACCGTGCTTGGCGCCTTAGCCTGCACCGTGACTGGGTCCCTGTGCACTTGTGGACGTAGGACTCGGCGCCGCAGGTTCCACTTGGCTCGGAAGCGCTGCACCCATTGATTCACATGCCGGCGAGGCGGCAAACCCTCCAGGAGGCTGCCAAACCGCGCTTTCTCCCACGTGGCATAGACATCCAGCGATAGCGGTGCTACACCGACGTGGTTGCAAGCCAGAACCCAGTTGAAAGTGTTAGCCTCTGCCAGAAAAGCGGCTGCATGCCGCACTGGCCGTGCCCACGGAGTCGCGGAAGGTGAAAAAATGTGCTGCAAGTCTAAGTCTGTGGTGCTCAAAAACAAATCTTCCACCACAACCCGTGTTGTCCCTGAGGTCGGCTTGACTGCTGGCCACAGGGCAGCGAAGCGAAGCGCTAGCTCCATATTGCAGTCCGACAACACATAGACGGCAACGATCGCTTTGCAAGCAAGAGGGCTAAAACCTCCAGAGGCTGCTTCCTTCTTTGCTCGGTATCTGGCATGCTTGGCTTGCACTCCGGCCGCTCTGTTTCTGGCAAGGTCTGCTTGCAAAGTTGCAATGGTTTCTGCTAAAGCCACTGGAGTCGCCGCAGGTGCGTGAGCCATGGGGCAAGGCTGCGGCCACCTGGGTGCTGTCTTGGATGTCTTTGCATGGAAGCCTATACCCTTCTGTTGCTGGGCTGTGACTCTGTGGCATATGAATGCGAAAAATTGGTGCTGTTACAGCCATGTCCTGTGACTCATGTGGCGCTGGATCCACACCGAAGGCCCGACAGAGCTGCTGCATGCAATCTGTGAGTGATGGCTGAGCGGCGGCTGCAACAGATTCTCCATGCTGACCTAAACACAACCTCCTGGACTGCAACTCCTAGAAGGAACCCTTGCAACTCTGAGAAACAATGCACGTGCAGCATGCACCCACATGGCAGAAGCACATTGAGGGTTCAAGCAGCTGTAGACCCAAATCTCCCCCGCAGGCGGTTTCACAAACCTAACCCAAGCCATGCCTTTCTCTACCCCATGCAGGCTGTTACTCCAAATGATAACACGGGCCGGTAAGCTGCACCAAATGCTGATTCTCGCGAATCCATGGTTCGTCATCATCCCAGTCAGTTGATTCATCTATGGTGATCACAATGGGGACCCTGAATAAATAAACCTGATATGAGAATATGTTCGTCTGTGACTGGCCTAAGCGATGAAAGTCTGGGTTTGCCTGAAATAAGGCCCGCTGAGATAGCACAAAGGACATAGAATTGCAATTGTCGAACAGGATAAAGCCGTGAGAATCTCTGTCGTAATGTTGTAACTCAGCGGCCGTGGCACCCTGGACAGTTTGAATGAAAGGAGGCTTCTGGATATACGTAGGCAAAACGAAATGGAGGCATTTTGCCAAGGTGCTTTTGCCAGCGCGCGAAGGCGCCCGGAGCACAAGAAATTTGTACCGAGAATCTAAAATGGAATACTGTTTGGCCCAGTCTTCGACTCGGGCAACCACTTCTGGCAAAAATGGCTTTTGCAATGGCTGGAGCTGAGCCACCACTTCGGCCTGCTCACGTCGGAGGCGACTTTCGCTCTCCTGCTGCATGACTGCTTCCACAGCGCGTTTGCGGGTGATATAGCCCAAGCGCACCTGCAACCTGCTGCACACGGTGTTGACACTTTTATAGTGATAATTCTGGAGACATTGGCCCTCTTTCTGAAAATGCATCTATAGAATCAGAGACCCCAAGGTATTTTCAAGTTGACAATCTCTTTAGAATCGCTGCCCCCAAGTCACTCTCGTAGAGCCGTTTTTTGGTTGGGGGGGTTAGTTGGCCTTCTATAAAATCAGGCTCCCCAAGTGTCATTCATTGACAGCTGACCTGAATGCTCCAGTTGCTCTTGCCTACCTTACCTTATGCATTCCCAATTTTATAGAGCTCAAAGGCTCCAAGTGTTCACTGTCAACCTCTTCGATTATATACAAGGATGATCAATGATGATGAAAGAATTGTTGTGGGAAATTGGTTCTGCCAATACTTCTCTATAGAATTGAACAACATGACATACACCCAAAGAGAACATATCCAACTATAGAATCGCAGTGGCTAAGGCTCTCTGCTGACTAGGACTCAGTGCTGTATTCAACATGAAATCTCTATAGAATCAGAGGCCCCAAGGTCCTCTATACAATTGAAAGCGTTGACACTGGGTAGGTACCCCTAAACAAAGCAGGGGGTTAAAACGCACCATTTTCCAGGACCCAACGTTCTTGATTCTGTAGAGGAAATTCCAAGGGGGATATTTGAAGGTATCTGAAGATATGTTACGGCCAAATTATTGCTTATGTGCGGACACTTTAGCAGACTCGAAGCAGCACTTTTATAAACAACATAGGTGTTTGTGACGTTCCCTATTCTATGAAATGGACCTGCTATGAAGTGGTCCCACTGAAATTCACATTGGGTTTATGTTATGTTCCGTTTCATACAAATCTTTTCGGGGTTGTTCAATATTCTGGTACCCGAAAACTGCCCGCACGCCACCCTTTCGCGAACCGTTCGCGCCCCAGCAGAATAGGGACAAGGAATTCTGATCATGTTATCGTGCGCATATGTGTTTATAAATAGTGGTATGCAGACCTCGTTGAATTTTAAGGTTTCTCCATCCCACTTTATTACTTGTATATTATGGTACCCATATTCCAGACCACATAAAATATGATAAAGAAACATTTATAGTATGGGTTTAATCATTTCATCCGGACATGGGTTCTTCCCTTCCATATAGAGCTTCAATCAAGGGGGATCGATAAACAGCTATTGACAAGTCAACTGCAATGACACCGCCTAAAGTGAGTCTTTGGCATCCGCACCCCTGGGTCCATGTATATATATATAAATAGATATATATATATCCATAGATAGATATAGATAGATATAGAAAGACATATCTTTGTATAGATCTGTCTCGAGAGATATATATATATATATGTGTGTGTGTGTGCGTGTGTATCTAAATCTCTCGAAAAATGTCTCTATATATCTACATATGCTGATCGCCATGCAGCCATGGAGCGTCCAATAAATGTGGACCCTGATGTATCTCCGGAATGAAAACAATGCTGCTTAACCCAGGCACGCGTACTGCAGGTACTGCTGATGAGAAAGCTTGTGCCCACTCCACAGCGCATCCAGCCATCTGCCCTGCACTGTGTAGTCCTTGAACGCCTCGTAGGAGCTGGTGGCAACGAAATGGGTTCCTACCTGCACAGATCGCCCGGGTGAATTCCACCCAGCACTCAAGGCATGTCAGCCGAGGAAATGATCTGGTGGTGGGTCCAGACAATTAGATTAGATGTGATGCTGGCGACGAAACAATCTACATATGCCGGTTGCTGTCAATTCCTGTCTCTGCAAACGGCCATTTATCGCGAAGCAAAAAGTTTCTTTCGCGCATCCTTCGCGAACTGCATGTGCATCTTTCGCGCAACCCATGTTGAGCAATAACTCCGCTTATGCAGATTCAATCGGCACGGGCCAAATCACACCAAATTAGCACGGAAAAGTGCTTCATAGCCTTGCAAACATTCTGCTAGCATCACGGAATCCCCTTCGCGAACAAGTTCTTGCTGCTGAGGAACTTTTTAGCAAGGCTTACTGGGCCACGCCCTTCAAAATGCCCTTTGACTTTACCTAGTCTTTTGCAGCACTTGCGTGCAACTGTCGTGCAAAGACTTGTCTCCGCAGACCCCAGCCAGGAGCACGGGGGGGCGGCAAAGGAAAAGCAAACACCAGGTGCCTTGGTGTTTGGCTCTTGCAAAGTGTCCCTGTTCGAAGCTTGGCTGCTGCATTTCGCGGTTGTTTCTTGAGACTTCAGAAAGCAACGTTAGGCAGGACCAGCGGCAGGTGCAAGGATGTGCTTGGCCACCATGGTATTTGGCTCTGGCGAAGCGTGACCTTCGGAAGCTGGCTGCTACCTATGAAGGGAAAAGCCAATGTGCGGTCCCAGTCTCCTGCCGGACCCCCGACAGCAGGGAGGCGGTGGTAGCCCTTAACAAGCGGTACTGTAGACAATGAGGATGATGCATTCTAGCCACCGTTCGCGACACTTTCGCGAAGCAAACAGTTTCTGTTTCGCAAACAAACTTTCGCGCGGGGTCCCAGCACAAATGAACTGTGTTTGCAATTGAAACTCGTTATCAGGACCTTCAGATGGATCACCACATATATATGTTTATATGCAGAGATATATTTCGATATATCGATAGTGATAAATCTTGAATCAATGCGTACAAAGAAGAAGGATTGCCTATGCAAGACCAACCACGTAGATAGCGGTCCAATGAGTTCAGTTCATCCAAATCAGGCTCGTGGGTGCCCAGACCAAGGTGGCCTACAAAATGTTTGACTGCAAACACGATCTGCTGCAAAGCTGCCAGGTCTACTGATGATCAACTAGAAGCTACGTCATGCTGCTGCCACACGATCGGATTAGTGACAAAGGTGGCCTACATGAACTGCAACTTTCAACATGAGATAGAATGTCGTTACAAGGTAACCCAACGGAGATGCACCTTTGCAGCCCAAACGTAAAAATGTCCTTGGTCTGCCGCATCTCGCCAGCGTGCGCCCCGTGCCCGACATGGGGAAAGATTGGGCTGAATGCCCTTGAAACGGAGCGCCGTGCATGATTGCCAGTCGACGGGGCGGGCGAATTCCAGGAAGCAATGAATATGTAGACGGCCAGCATCCTCCGAACGCAAACTTGATTCCATCGTGGCACTCCATTTGCCGACCCACTCACACGTTGCAAGCCAAGTAAGGAACTCATCGAAATCCGCCAGCTGCAGCTGCAAGGAATTGTAGGTTACCAACACTGCTCGTGCTCGAAGACGAAAAGGGCGGGCATCACCTCTGAAAAATGTGCAACGATGAAGTGGCTGCGACTAGGACTCATGACTATACCCCTTCTAGTTCAGTCTCTCCCATCTGCATGCAAGGCTGAGGCTTGCCTACTGTCACTGATGCATGTCATGTCCATCCACTGCTCTAGGTCTCTTACCCTCCGGAAAGTACCGTCCCGGATGCTAATGGCAACTACTTGCGGTCTGACCTGGTCCTGGGGCTGCTGCCATATCCACATCCTCTTGGGTCGATGCTGCTGCACCAGCTTCGTCTGCTGCTGCAACGCCCTGCAAAGCTGATTAGAAACAGTGTGAACCAGAAGGCCGTGCAAACCCAGCGAATGGTAGCACCAACCAGGACGGCTGAGCAAGTCGCAGCAGGGTGAGAAATGTGAAAAGTGACCCGAACAATGGGTCGCAGTCTTTAGCACCCGACAAACAGGTGAGGCACCTCATAGAGGTCAATGATGTCTCGCAGCTTCTGAGTGTCACTCGGAGACAAGGTGCAGTTCTCCAGGCGCTGTCGTTGCGCTGCAAAGTCGGCGCGAGACAATTCACCCCGAAATTTCGGCACCTCGAGCTGGTTGGCTTGCAGCAGTTCCCGCAACGAACCGCACGCAGCACGCTTCCGTGTCGTGGAGGATCTCATGGCTCGGCCCAAGTGCAATGCGGAAACATCCTGTCTGCATGGCATGTCTTGGGTGCAAGGCTCCAATGCGATGTGCTACGTCAGTTGCTTGCGACACCCCGCTTTGCTGTCAGGTGGCCCATTTCCTTTGGAGAGGGCTTGACACTAGAAACAGCAAGGAACTCACCACCACGTCCTTAAAGCAGAATGCAGGTCACAGGCTTGAGCATGAAAAAAGCACATGGAGCAGATAGTCTGCTAGGATTCCATTGTCACAAACAGCTGGACGTGCATATGGCCCACAGGTCTGGAAAAAGCGTGTCGACCGTTGACACCCAGGAATGCTGCTGATGATTTCCGCTAGAGAAATGTGACTGGTAGAGGCACGTGTCTGAGTAGCAATATCTACAGAGACGGTCTGCCCCAGAAACAAAACCGCTCACGGCCCATGTTTTCACCCGACGTGACTGCAGTTCTCTCCGGCTGCCGCTTCGCACACGTGCGATCCACAGACGCCATGCTGCGACAGCACTGCAAAAAAAAGGAATGGAAGCTGGAAGAAGGGGTGGAAAAGAGGTAGATGTGATGTGGGAACATGGCCGCTGCAAATGATGGAATGGGAAGGATGTGCATGGGGGTAATGTCTTAAAGCTGCTGTTGCTGCTGCGCGCGACAGTACGCAATTACTATAGGCGGGACCGCAGCGGGACCGCGGCGGGACCGCAAAATGTGGGAATTCCCACGATTCCAGGTTGCAGGCGGGACCGGTCCCGCCGTCGGCGGGACCACTTTACCTGTGAATTTATAGGAGCGGGACCGCATACCCCGTTTGGGAATTATAATAATATACCAGGGGGGGTCAGGTGATGTTTTGGAGGTGGGGTGTGGGAAGATTCTTGGGGAGATATCTTGTCTATCTAGCGTTGTATCCCTGGATGTCTTCTAAATGGGGTCTCTGGACCGCGCATGTCTTCCAAGCGCTTTGTCTTCGACATGGCGCTTGCAAGTCTGCGGTTTCCAGCTTTCACTCCTGCCGCGCTATGCCTTTGGCATTGGGATTTTCAGCCTTGACATGGTCTCATTCCAAGCGCTCTATGTCTTGACCATGGCGCTTGCAAGTCTGCGGTTGCCAGCTTTCCCTCCTAGTGTCCATGCCTTTGGCATGGTGCTTTCGAACCTTCACATGGCCGCTCTCACTCCAAGCGCTCTATGTCTTTGGCATGGCGCTTTCCACATAGTGCACGGCTTGACTCTACTCATGCGGGCTTGCCATTGGATGCATGCGACGTGCCAGCAGCCACGTCAAATCACTCACATCCAGCTTTCCTGCTTGTCGTAGAAGACGTCTTCGTTTCCTTTCCTGCAGGCTATGGAGTACATGTCTTTCAACATGGGTTCAGCGTTCACATGTCCCACCTGCACTCACGAAAAGACACCGTATCCATGCATTTACATGCACTCTCCTGGTTCTGTAGTTCTTTGGTGGCTGCTGCTAACTGGCGTTTCAAATTTTTGCGCTCTTCCTTCAGCACAGCAACCCTATCAGCCGCGGCCGGTGGGGCTGCAGCTGCCGCGGCGTTTGCATCAGCAGCGGACATGGCACTCAAGGCGGGCGAACAACAGGCTTGCTCCACTCAAACTGCATGCAGTCCTCAAGATGATCCTGTGTTCTCTTTGTGCTTGCCTGGTACCTCCTTTTCACCCCTGTTCACGACCCCAGAAACATGGCTACGAGAATGTGACAAAATGGTCATGCACCGATGTACCCTGATAGTATATATATTATGTATATTATATGTATTATGTATATTATAATACTATTATTATACATATATATATATTATGTATATTATATATATATTGTGTATATTATACATATTATGTATATTATAATACTATTATTATACATATATATATATTATGAATATCATGAAATTATCACTATAGATATATATATATATGTACTATGTATATCATATATATTATGTATATTATATATATATACATATTGCGTATATTATAAACACCATGTATATTATTATATATATATTATGTATATTGTATATACAATGTATATTTTAAATTATATATATATACATTTCTTATGTATGATTCTTCTCCATAGCCGTGTTTATACAGTATGTCCAGCCCAGCGGTCTGCCTCCGGAACAATGTCAGCGGTCAACGACTTTGACACCACCCAAATGGCGTTGTTGCTCGCCTCGGTGCGGGCTCAGTTCGGGCCGCCGGTGCGCGCCGCTGCGCTTTGTGTCCCTCAACCTCCAACCATGGGATTCCAAAACAGAATGGGTAGACATAAATAGCCTAGTGATAAGTTGGTTTATACCCCCCATTAACTATAGTGATAAGTATCATAAACCATAGTTACTGGAGTTAGTGATATTTATCTGATGATGATGATGTGATAAGTATGATATAAGTATAACATAAAGCTATAAGGAGTGATGATGATGTGATGTGATTATCATTCTAAGATGTTGGGTGATATTAAAAAAAAAAAAAAAAACTGATCCCAGGATAAGCATCTAAAGAATCTAAAGATCAGATCATCTAGAGTCGATGATGTGATATGTATATCAATGGATTGGTTAAAGGGAAAATCTTCACCGGAAACCATGATTTTGACCACCAAATATCAGGGTTTTTGGTTAAGATTTTCCCTTTATCCAATCCAATGACCCATGAATGGATTGAGGACCATCCCCTTTTATGGGAAAGTAATCTTTGTTTTGACAACGCAACAATTTGAATGGAGTGATGACCAGCCATGTGAAAACCTGGTTCCCTTGTGCTCTTTGCAAGACCAAAATGCCCTGATTTAGATCATCTGAAGTTTACTGCCCTGAAGAATCGTCAGCCGCCCAAGTCCCACAAGTTGGCTATGCACAAATTCAGTATTGAAAACCAGAGCGAAAATGTTCCCGTTTTTCTGGGGGGGAACCCAACCACCCATCATTGCAGTTTCAACCTCTGTCCATGGGGTCCCCGAGAAAAGCAGCCGGGGATGTGACGCCCAGACACATCAAGAAGCCAGAAGCCCAAGGTGAAGATCAATACGGCGCGGATACGAAGAGCGTCCTCGCAACGGTGGACATCTGGGGGATCTGTGGCCATCAAACCGTAGGGAAACTATGGGAAAATCAGAACAAGCCCAGAATATTGTCTGGAAGCTTTGTCGGGAATGAGATGTTGTCCGAAAGTGTGAGAATTCTGATTTTCTTGAGCAATCTTGCCATTTTGTCCTCAACAGAGTCCAGGAGAAGGAGGGAAGAAGCATCAAAGCTTTCAAGAACAAGTCTGTTCTATGCATGTCAAGCTGGAAGCTTTGGGAAGTGGTTCAAGTTTTGTGTCTGTCTGGAATAGGCTACCCCCAGTTCTTCCGGTTGATTGTCACTTTCCCATACTTTGCCCACAATAACAATGACCATCACCGGGGTGAATTCCACAGTGTCAGATCCACACCCAAGGTCATCATGACGTTGGAATTATTAATTATAGCCCAAAAAAAAGACGCCAAAAGGTATAGTGTGTCTCTACATTAGTAGGATATGTTTCAACTTCGAGATCTTTTTGGGGATTAGATTCAATCCCCATTATTTCCTCATTATATATATATATATATATCATATACCCTCTGAGGTTATTTAACATAGCCATGGAAGCCATGGCCCTAATCGAAATAGATGGTTTACCTATTAATAGCATGGGTGGATCTTTCCATGGCGAACTGTTAGTCATAACCAGATGGTATATGATATATATCTCCATCCCCAATGGTTTTTCACCGTCCGTGATGCCATCGCCAAGCAGGTGTCCCAAATCCGCGCTGTTGCCTGAGGGGGGCAGAAAACATGGAGGGAAAGCTTAGAAAAGGTGCAAAAAAAAACATGAAAAACATGGCTGTATTTTAGGTGTAGATGGTCCTAACTTCAGAATCTTTTGGGGAGTTTTCTTGAATCTCCTGGAAAAACGCATCACAGACCCTGGTTCGTTGTGATAATGAACTGTTTTTTCCACATTCATATAACTAACCTAATCATTTCATACCGACCAAAAATGCTAGTGAAAAAACTTGGCAAACCTGATCATGAACCCTATCGGATATGGGACACAATATCCCAAAGCATAGGTTCATGTTTGGTTTTGCAAAAAAAAAAAAACAACAATCAACTGCCCACATTCAGGGGTCAATTTCAAATTCTCAATAAGCTTAGTATCCAGCAGCCAGCAGTCTCTTTTTCTGTTTCTATCAGATTCTGTGACCAACTGATCTGGAAAAAATGGACAAAACAACACCAGATCAACTCCCAGATTTCCCAACTCCCAGGCACCACCAGCGGGTGATCCCAAGCCAGTCTTTTTCTGTGAATTTGATGCAGCAGTCAGTGACTTCACCAGTCCCAAAGGCAAAAAAAATGCAACCCAAGTATATAAATAATATTATATCATATTATATCATATCAGTGGTATAATAATATTTCCGAGTAAATATCACCATAAAATATCACCACTGATGGTTGGTAAAGAATCCCCATTTACAGATGATTTACCCAGTAACTCATAGATGTTTTTTTCCCATGAAATCTCCCCTTAAAATCATCATATCCCCATTTCATCTGCCCCTAATAAACAGCCCCCAGAAACCATTGGTGGATAACCACATCTCTTGGACTAAAATGGTGTTCTATCTTTGGGGGCTGGGGATTCTCATGGGGCCAACTTTGACCCCACCTACCAACAGTTGCGCCAGGAGCAGCACGCAGCCACCCAGCGCCAAGAACGGCCGGCGCCGGCCGAAGCGCTTGGTCACCACCTGACAAACCAAATGGCCATCCTTCCCATGATATTTACACTTAAAATTTTGCGGATTACCCAAGGGTCAACATTGCCATAGATGTGGAAAACCAATGGTGTCCCATTCAGAAAATGATCTACTTAGCTACTTTCCCATTTGAAAAAATAAAATCTACTTGCATGGTGGGTTTTCCACATCTATGGCAATGTTTACAGGGGGTAATCAACTATGATTAAGGATATATGGTTTTAATGTAACCCACAGTAAGAAAATGAGCTTGTTTCTGAATTATAGTCATTTCCCCAAATGATTGATGCTATGGCATATTCATGGGGTATCAAGAAGCGATAAATGGAGATTAATGTGGGTCACCAAACTAAGCCCTCATGAGCAAAAAATGATGGTTTGTTATATATAGAGTCATTTATAAAAATATATATATATATTTCCAGTTTAGTACTTGTTGCAATTTACCCAGAAATTGGGTACCAGTATACCCACATTTATGGCCACTGTGGAGAAAATGATCATATTTTCCTCGGGGACTTTTTCGCATTAAAAATCATTGAAACCCCAGCAGCACAGACTTCCAGCTCAAAATCTGGTCAATCAAATCCCTTTTTGATAGCCTTTTTATCAGCCGAATCTCCAATCTCCGCGGATCAGACATGACCGTGGGCCCACTAAGCCCAACCCGCCAAGATCCAGCAAAGGCGCATGCATGAAGCCGCCACTGCCATTCTCACCGCGTCGGACGGAGCTCCGTCCGTCGGAGAGGCGGCCCACGAAGGGCTGCACCACCATTCCTCCACGGATCGAAACATGGGTTCAGATTTCATGATCCGATCAAAACATGCTGATTTCATGCTGGAAAATGGTGATCTTAATATATTACTATATATATATATATATCTCTTAATGGAATTTAAGTAGGTTTTAATGAAACCAATCATCTATAAAATGTTGACAAAGCCAAGCCATGGAGTTTTTAAAAAGGGATGTAATAGGATATGATGAGGATAAACCAGAAATGATCATTTCTGATGTGCATTTCATGGTGATGAAATCAGCCATGGGGATTTTTAGGAGATACATTTGGATCTGTCTGAATCTTCATAGGGAAAATAGGGGAAAATGATGATTGAGTGGATGGAATTGGATATACCATCTTTTTTTTACCTGGCAACTGTTTCTGTGAGGTATCATTCTCAAGAGCCCTGTCTTTTAGCTTTCCAATTTCATCCTTTTCCACAATCTTCGTCTTTATTTCATGTTCAAGCTCCATGTTCTTTCTGTTTCTTTGTTCATTGCTTTCTGATAGTTTATCGTTCAATTTGCCAACTCTATCAGATGCACTTTCTTTTCCTTCTTTAATTTCATTTCTATATCTATATGTTTCAATTGTTTCTTTATCTGTTTTTATTTTTTCATGAGCTTTTAATTTATTGTGCATTTCCTTCTTGAAATCCCGAAAAATAACGTTGTGCATAGGTGTGCAATTATTTTTGAAAACGGCTGGGTCTTTTGGGAATTTTGAAGCCACAGCAGCGCCTGTGATGGGCCCGCCCAGCCAAATGATGGAGGCCCATCGTACAGGTACACCCAGCTCCAGCACGAAGGGCGTCAGCAGGGCATACTGCAGACCGAAGCCAAGGTAGGCGCCCCCTGCAATGTGGGGCCCCCCAGTTACAAGTTGGTTTATAACCCCCATTAACTATAGTTATTTGCGTACCATAAACCATAGTTATTGGAGTTATGTGCACCAACTTAGCTATCCAACGGGGGCCCCACATTGTGGACCATGGTGGAAGGGTCAGATTGAGTTCATCCCAAAACGATCCGATGAGTTTGGCCGATGCCTTGGGAGGCGGCCAAGGCTAATAAGCCCAAGGTGGACCAGGGCTGGTTCTCATGCGACGCGGTGTAATGTGTGGTGTCCACTGACCTGAAGGGCCACGAAAACAGGGCCGAGTGAGGAAACCAAGATGGGAAAACCTCCCCATTTCTGAACGAACCTCATCGGCACAGGAAAACCTCCATTTCTCTGCTTTTGAACAGGATAACATCCAATGACTAATGACATCTGCTTTTCTGGTGTTGATCGTCGCAAGGATCGCAAGGTGCAGGCTTATCTAATTGTGTCGGAATATGTTCCAGGTGTTCAGACCAATTTCAAGCCACTGTTGAAATTAAGCATCAGTAACTGGTCATGATATATCCATTGGTAAGTAAATGAATGGTATTTTGATCCGTATCACTCTCCAACAACTGCCTATTGTTTCATAAGTTTTGTTTGCCACATTTTCTTGAAACCTACAGTGAGAAGCCAGATCCAAGAGGTCTCTTGGCCTTGGAAAGCGCCATTCCATAGTTTTTCAACATGATTCCCCATGTATTTGTTGTTACATCTCAGGGTATCCCCATGTACCCTCTGGTAGACTAACATAACTGTGGAAAATCACCATTTTTAATGGGAAAACTCACTATAAATGGCCATGTTCAATAGCTTTTTGTATGTTTACCAGAGGGTATCCCCCATTCTTTCCACAACCCCACAACATGTCATCCCCATGAAACCCATCATCATCCAGCAGGAAACATGTTGGAGAGCATGGTGCCACCAGCAGACCATAGGCGGTTGTGGATTGCCAGGCTCACGATGGGGGGGGAAGTTGCCTGCCCTGTTGAGTCGGAACCGGTCATGTTGGTCTTCTGGGGATGGAAATGATCATGGTTACCCTCTGGTAAACTAACATAGCTATTGAAAATGGCCATTTATAGTGAGTTTTCCCATTAAAAATGGTGCTTTTCCACAGTTATGTTAGTTTACCAGAGGGTAATGATTGACAATGATGATTCGATGATGGTTAATGGTTGATGATAATGGTTTCTCATAATGCTTCATGATGGATCACAAGATCTCTGGGAAGAGTTCAACCGAGTGGCAGGGAAACGGCTAGCTGTCAAAGGTTCAAGGTGTGTTTGGCACTTTCTCGGAGTCTCTGGGCTGGAAGTGGTATGATGATTCTGTGGCCCTTGCTGTGACACTTGTTCGGTCTCGGAAAAGGCTCGCGGCACTGAAACGGTGACAACCCTCAAATTAGCGCTCCAAAATTTTCTGCTTGCACTAAATTCAAAATAGAAAGGAAATCGGAACCTCTTTTTTTTTAAATAAATCCGCCTAAACCACTGATTGTCATTGATTTTCCCCAAGTTTCCCCCCATTTTTCCCATGGGGAAAACAAGTGCTTCATTCCGCTGCCTCAGCGCAGGTGCCTGAGCCTCCTTGCTGGTCACCTGAAACCAATGAGGCTGTTTCAGCAGGATATCATTGGTTTTTGCTATGAGAATATGATGGTAATATTGGGGATCGAATGGGATGTAATGTGATGTGTTTTTAAATGCATTTATTCGTTTATTATTTGCATTTATTCATTCATTCAATTATTTGTTTATTTATATGTATTTATCTATCTATTTATCTATTTATTTATCTATTTAAGTTGTTCATGTATTTATTTCTCTAATTCAATTTACTTGTTTATTTACATAAATATGTAACCAACACTCTAATATTTGGCTGTGTTTGAGAATGGTTGATCTACCACCAAATTGCTCGTAGGGAAAAAAGATACCCTGTTTTCAGACGAACCCAACCAGAAAAGAAAAAGATGTTGAAAGACTTGTCCAAAAAACAAAAATGCTGCAAAACCACTAGAGGTTGCTCATATCAATGACCACGACCTTCCTTCAAAGAACTTCCAGGCGCCGACCAAAAACCCCCCGCCCCCCGAAAGATTCTCGTGACCTTCGTGTCCGGCTCTTCGAACGCCTGCAAGCTGTAGCAAGGCTCGAAAGGGTTTCAGGTTCAATGGAGTTGATGATGCCTTGGTGCTGTCGAGTGGTGCAGCACCATACCAAGGGAATCATGTGGATAGACACTCCAAGGATTTAACCTGGCTGGAGAATAACACACAGTAACAGCACCAACCTAAAATGGTGGGTGCTCTTGGGGAGGTTCAGTCCCAAAACCTCAATAGCTTTACACTGGTTGAGAAAGGGAGAGATTTCTTGCACTGGCTTGGTTCATAATCCCCGGGAAACCAGGTAGATCCAGGTAGTATATCTCCTGCAGCAATCAACAGGGGCTGCCCCCCAAACTGGTAGCCTTCTGGGCGCCGCGTTTGCCCATGGCTGAAGGCACAAGTGCGCGCTTTCCAGATTTCTTCCGGTTAGACGATCCGTGTGACCCGTAAAAAACCTTGAGAGTTGTTCGTTGTGCTGTTGAGGTTCCCCATTTCATTCGAAGTTTTCTCCGACGTTTCAATGTCGCTTAAACCAATCATTCCAATTTCGAAGCTTGTGCTGTTGGCAAAGCTCTAAGACCTGCCATGATGCCATGGCCCAACAGCTGAGCCTGAGCCCACCAAGTGTGGATGAAAATGATGGACCCATCGGAGGCTTCAACTCTTCCGATCCCCCGCGCTGGTGGGAAGGCACCATTCTTGCCAGGGATCCCACAAGCAATCCCCATGCGGTCCCAGACGGAACCGCGTTCCAGGGCTCCATCTGCCAGGAGGGTGACATCCGATGGAAAATGATCGAAACTTTGAATCCAGATTTCTAGGTTTGTTGGCCAGAAAATATGTGATTGAAACCTAGAAACACCTAGAAATGATTGAAATACTTTCAGAAACTTTGGATTGATGATTTTTTTTCTGAAAGAAAAACTGAGAAATGGAAGTATCACCATTCTCGGGACCCGGACCCAATCAACTGGTTTTCTTTTAATCCGAGGTTCGTATTCACAAGGACACTGATCATGTATGGCGCAACCATTGGGTGCCAATGGCTTTCCCGAACTTTTTATTTCACAAGTTGCCCCAAACTTTGTCCCCAAAAAAGTGACATAAAAAGTATGCCAAGAGTATCCCATAGGTTTTTGTTGGCCATTGGTACCTTGGTCCCAGAAATCTGTTTGTGTCGCTTCCCCTGAAGATCTTGGGAGATCAGCTGTGGCATTGAATCTGAGATCTTTTACTAACCATATGGGGATTATTAGTTATAATGGTTTCAAATAAAGATTAATGAAGTATAATCATAACAATAATTGGATGATGTCACTCTTGATTATGGTCATGATGATTATCTGGTTGGTGGTTGACAAACCCCTCTGAAAAATGATGGACTTAAAGTCAGTTGGGATGTTATTCCATTCCCAATATGATGGGAAAGTCATAAAAGCCATGTTCCAAACCACCAACCAGATATATATTGTTACAGCAAGTGATAAAGGATGGCCGATGATTGTAGGGGGCTACACTATCCAAAAAAAAACAGCGTTTCGACGTGTTGTCCCGAAATCTCAACCGATATGGAGATACAAGTTGATATCGCCAACAAAACAAGGCAATTTGACACCTCAAGCTGAACTGCTGGAAACCAAACAAAAGGGGACCCTCCTTTTATTACCCTCAAATCTAGCCCTTCAACCCTGAACCGCCTGAACCATGTTTTTTTAAAACCCTGAACCCTGTTAGGGAGACTCCAAAAAATGCAATCACCTACAAAACCAGGAATCACCGGGGCATAACGACACTTGGTGGCATAGGACCACTCGTGTAACATGTCCCACTCCTGCAGCTACAGCAACCCTTTTTTTGCAGAACATGTATGGGAAAATAAATGGGAAAATAAATGGGAAAATAATATGTGAGAAAGATAGAGCTATGGGAAAATATGTTGGAAGTAAATGACACAATTGAAACATGAGAAAATCCTCCGCTTTCAATGGAAAACATGTGAAGATATACATACTGCTAGCTGGAAAGTCAACCCTTTGAAAATGTTTCTTTCCTGGAAAGAATGGCTAGTCTCCGTTGCCACTCCAAGCAAAATGGAGATACAACCTATTTCTCTCCCTCATGAATCTTCATCGTTGGGAACTGGTTGGTCACTATGGTGTCACTCACCCATTGATGTACCTATTTTCTGCGGCGGGCCACAGGACAGTCGAGCATACTGGGTATGGATCGAAAATTGTGTATAGGATGCAGGGAAGCAGAATGGTTTTGAGTGGATTATCATTTTGATCCTTGCCTTGCTCAGGCCGAAATCATGTAACCCGCTTGCACCAGGGGTGTAATGCAAAACCATTTAATTTTCCAGCAAACAGGAGGTGTCCTCGCCCTACTTCCACTCACATACTTCACTCATCATTCCACCATGCATAATGCGGCCTCTCATTTTTAACTGATAGCAACCCCCAAAACAACGCAGAAAAGTGATAATACAGCATCCTACAAAAATAACATTTTCTATGATAAACATTGATAAATATTGATACTGAGACTGTAAGTAATGATGAAATCCTACAATTCATGGCAAATCTACCCTTTTCTGCATGTTTTTGGGGGTTAATAAAAACAGGAATTTCGTGACGCACCTCGAACAGTGACTCTAGGACATCCAGCTGTCGTACTGACAGTCCACCTGAGTTGCGAAGCACTGGGTTTCGCAAACCGATTTCGGTCTGAACTTGGCAATGCACAAGCAGCGAGAGGAAAAAAAAGACCACCCTCGGAATTCGTTGACTGACATGATATTTGAAAAAAAAATATTGCCTGCTGTTTTTTCAAGGAAATGTTTGCTCAATTTCCTGACAGTTTATCTGGCTTTCCATCCCTGTGGCCATCACTTCCGCGGTGATGCAACTGATATCATCATTGCAAGGCCTGTCGCGGTGGTGACACGTGACATGGCAGGTTCAGGAAACCATAGGGGGCATCCAATTTTGTCATTTTTAGGTAGGGAAATCAATACCCATATCGAAAATGAGTAAAGATTAGTAAAGTGATGAAAGCCTCGGCATCTCTATCTTATCCATTGATTCTCATGAAACCTCGTTTCTTGCCAACGCTTGATAGCAATAGGCCTCAAGGTTTCCACTAGTGCTGGACCCCAGGTTTTTCGCCTTCCCAAGGAGGGTTCACCCTTCTTTAAAGTTTTTTTTCTGAAGGAAACGTGGTGGAAACCCCTTCAAAATCAGGATGTCATGCCTAGTCGCCTGGCTAAAATGGTCAAATCCGTCGTCACCTAGGATTTTGACCTCACTCAACTTTGTCCAAGAATACAGGATACCCCAATTTTGGCCAAATTTACCTGGGGAGATCGAAATTTGGACAAACTATGGGATTTTGGGGCACCTATTTTCAATCAAATCCAACTCATATTGCTGTTCATGCAGCGCGCCCTTCCGGCCTGTATCTTGCAAGTTTCCGTGACAAAAGCTGCCACCCATCTGTTCTTGAGCCTTTGAACGTCCGTGGTTTTTCAAAGAAAAAAAGAAATATTGCAGAATGGTGGATCCGCGGTTTCCCCCAGAGTCATGGGCGTCGGAATATCCATTATCCATTGTGATAAGTCCCTTGTGAGCCGGAAAAAAATCTCAAAGAAAAAATACCAGTAGTACCCGCACGAGGCCGGGGGGAAGTTTCCTTAGGGATAGATAGATAGATAGATAGATAGATAGATAGATAGATAGATAGATAGATATATATATATTTATTTATTTATTTATAGATATATATATATATATAACTCTTTATCATCTA